TTGAGATGGTTTAGAAATTCTTCCAATTTTTCTTCACCGTGGTTCCAAGTTGCGAAGGTGTCATCCACATATCGGAATCAGACTGTGGGTGTGAAGGGTGCTGAAGCCAGGGCCAGTTTTTCGAAATGCTCCATGTAGAAGTTTGCTATAACCAGGCTGAGGGGGCTCTGCAGAAGAAATAAGAGGTGAAGTGACTAGGATCCTACGAAAAGCAAAACCCCCCAAAAGCAACATAACAAGAAAGGAGAGAAATGCCATCAATCCCTGAACTCAGACTGGGACATCTTCATCCTGTCAGCAGACAAAGGCAACACCACAGTAATCATGGAAATAGAAGAATACAAGGACAAAATCAGGGAACCTCTAGACCCCACCACCTACAGAAAACTAAATGGGGCTCAACCAACAAAATCACAAAAAAACATGCTGATCAGGAGTTCCTCCCTGCACTCCAACGTCTTTCAACGAATCTGCAAGACAGAAGCTCTCCCACCAAGGCTATATGGACTCCCCAAAATCCACAAGGACTCAATCCCACTCAGGCCTATTGTAAGTGCCATCGGCTCCCCAACATATGAATTAGCCAAACACCTAGTGATCCTCCTACAGACCCACATTGGACAAACCTCATCCTACATCAAAGACTCAGGACATTTCATAAGCAAGATCAGCACCCTAAAACTCAACCCTGGGGACAGACTGATCAGCTTTGACGTAGTGTCCCTGTTCACTAAGTTACTGATAAAGGACACCCTGACACTCACCCAGCAGACCTTTCCAGAAGACATCAAGGGCCTTTTCCAACACTGCCTAACGACCAGCTATTTTCAGTGGGATAATGAATTCTATGAACAGACAGATGGAGTGGCCATGGGAAGCCCCCTCAGCCTGGTTATAGCAAACTTCTACATGGAACATTTGGAAAAGAATGAAACAGACGAACCTTTCCTGAACACTTTTCTGGCATTGACCAGTGTCTGGCTTCTGTTGTATCTTTATTTCTGTGTGCTTTAGAATTGTGCCAAATATTTCCTCTAGTGTGATAATAAAAAGTGGAGGAGACAATGTACTGGTTAAGTATATTGTACTAAATAGCTTTCTGTTTGTTAATTAAGTCCACTGGTGTATTTTTGCTAAAGCTGGCAGTGATGGGACAGCATGAATGCAGGACTGAAGCAAAACTCCACAGAGGGCAGATCCCTCTTGTGAATCTTACAGGTCATTCCCACTTCTGTGGAAAAATATTACATCATTGCTGTACTCAGTATTCTATTTATACGATTGCAGAATTTCAAGTACATTTTCTTTTTTTAGCTGCAGTAAACAGTAATGGGAGTTTGTCTTGAAATGAAGTTGCTGCTAGGCCTTAGAAGGAACAATGCTTAGTCAAATATTTACACAGGGGCCAGTATCCAGCAGAGGAGGGGAGAGGCACATGTTTCTTAATATAAGTTGGGAAAGGAACTGGAGGACACTGAAAAGAAGGGCTCTTTACTCTCCTCCCACGTATGCTTTAAAAGGAGAAAGTGTTAATAACTGAACAAATTTAAAATAATATAGTCAAAACCTTAAAAAACCTATTATTGTATTTGTTTTAATAAAATAATCTCAAATATAGATGTGCGGATTCGTGTTTTTGGCTACAACTCCCAGAATAACTAGCTAGGGAATTCTGAAAGTTGTAAACCAGAAACACAAATCTGCATACCTCTAATTTAAAAGTACGGCTCAGTAATTGCAATGTCTCATCCCCAGTTCCTAAAAAATACCATCTTAATCTCTCTTTACATTAATCTGAATGTCTTATGCTTCTGAAAATATGTCAGATCATTAATGATGATGATGATGATGATCCACTTCCATGCTGTGTAATGTATTGGGTAGCAAGGATTCTCCAGCTCATTTGGTCTTCTGTGAGTGTTTCAGCATCCTCCCGTGTGATGTGTAGTGTCTGCAGATCATTAAAGACTTTATTTTAATTCAGTATTTAGTTAGCATGAAATGTATTCAAATGTAAAGTGCATGTTTGAAGTACTTGAAGACATAGGCCAACAGTCTAATAAACAAATATACCATGCATTATTTTCCTGTCACTACCTAAATATCGTCAAAAATTAAATTTCTCCGTTTCGGCCGCTGCCTAAAATGCTGTCTTGTATTGTTCAGTTTTGGGGTACGACTTTAATGTAAATAATATGTTTGCCATCTGAAAGGTTTGTGACAATGAAATACTCAGTTGATTTGTTTAATTGTATGGGTTTTCAAGATATAAAATATTTAGTAGTGGTTACATTGCCCCTTTCTGCTCAGTATTAACAAGAGTTAGTTTTTTTTTTTAAATAAAATAAGCCATCTGCCACAGACTCCTAGTGCTCTATAGTAGCTTCTCCTCACACTTGCTCCACCACCTATTACCACTGGAGCTATCAGTTCTCTTCTGCTTGTGAGGTTGTTCCAGCGAATGGCTGCTTCTTAGTCTAGTGTCTCAGCTTTGACCATTCTGCCTTGAATGGTCCTGCTTGGAATCTAGACTTGTAACAGAGTCTAGCTGCCTGATGTTGTAGCTCACAGCTTCCCAGATCCCTCTCCACATTAAGTTCTGTATCCAAGAGAAGAACTGAATAACTCAAATACCATGTAAGGAAAATATCTGCATGAATAAAGGTAGCTGACTCTGAACCAGAAGAAATGTGGATTGAAATCAGTGGTTTTAACAGGGAGGAACACTAGTAGGTTATTCTTATTGTCAAAAGAAAATAACTAAGGAAGATCTTGAAGCAGTCAATGACAGATGAAAAGCAAAACGGAAGAAGAGAGAGATCAGAACGCTAAATCCAGCGTTTCAGTGACTTACATTCTAAGGACAAAAAAAATGATTATAGTAATCAGTGCAAAGAAATAGAAGAGGACAATGATAAAAAAAGAGGAAAAACATATCTCTTTCATGAGATTTTTAAAAACTAAACAGCAGTTTTAAACTAGGTTAGAAATGTTTGAAAGGGTAACAAGGCAAGATGGAAGTAGCATACTGAAAAACAGTGCAGAAGAGATGCAAGGATGACAGAGTCCTTCAAAGCAAAATGTTCTGCTGAGGAAGTTTGTGGAAAATTGGTAATTTCCTTTTATTATCAGTGTATCAGCTACAGACTACAAATGCACAGAGAAAGTGTAAGAGAATAGCTCAAGTCCCAGAGCCATCTTCCCTTTACAATAACTAGCACTTTATATGTTAAAAATTACTTTGGAGGCATTTTAGGTAGAAAAAGAGAAAAAAGTAAGGAATTACAGTTGCACACAGCAGTTGCAAACAGAAGAATAAAAGGAAGGTTGCAGTCCCCGCACATGGGATAAACTGCCTCCATTTAACTCATGGTCGAAAGAGTGAGAGGAAGAGAGAGCAAACAAAACACGGGAAGAGGACAGAAGCGCTGGGGCTTGCCTCAATGCCAGAGATGGGAAAAGATAAATAAGTGGATTCCAGATCAAATCAAGTCTCAACTCTCACTGAAGTGAAAATGGCTAAACTAAGGATATTTTAATGTAGGCACATCGTGAGAAGTCATCACTGGAAAAGGTGGTAATACAAATGTTGAAAGCAGTGGGGGAAAAGGAAGATTGACATGAGATGGGATTGATTCAGTAAAGGAAGCCTTTTGTGTTTTCAGGAGCTGATCAGGGTTGTTAACAATAGAATCTTTTGGAGGTATAACGATGCACAGGCTTGCCATAAGTCTCAGGTGATTTGATGACACATTATAGATTAATTTGGTTTTGTGGAAATCAGATAAGCAGATGAGCTATATTGTACTTCCCATGATATGTTTCTGAAGTATCCCCTGTTTCAGCTTAAATGGAATTAAATAGTTTACCAGAGAATCTGCTAAACACTGTGTTCTGTATTGATTTCACAAAGCAAGATTTGCATGTTGGCAGTGATGTGTAAATTGTGATACAAGCTTCCAGATGTGCATGAAGTTGCTGTAACTGGCATGGGGCCTGGTGTAATACTTAGAGGATTTTAGTTTTTAATTTAATTTTACTTTTATATTTTAATCACACACCCCTTCCTATCTAGTTGTGTTGTCTCTAGGCTGCTCGTTGCATGAAGGGTGGAGAGTGAGCTACAGGAAAAGGAGGCAGGAGCATAGTCATAATAAGGCCCGCAAGACTTTCATTGCCTTCTTTTGTAGTGACACAAAAGGTCTTGCCACTTGCAGCACCTGTGTTACAAGGTTGCTTGACCATGCTTGAATCAGACTCAATCACTTCCAAAGAATATCTTTGAGTGAAAGTTGGTGCCATTCTGAACTCATGGAGGGACTTTTATTGATCTCTGTCAATAAGTGCAGTGCCATCTGTATTCCTAGCATAGAGATTGTCCTACTGAATTTCTTTGACACTTGCTCTTCATCCATGCTTTTTACATATTCAGGTGACAGAGTCATAGATGTAGGGTCAGAATGGCGAACATTCAGCAATGACAAAGCAACCAAAGATCCATCGCGAGTCGGAGACACCCAGAATCCTCTCCTAAGTGATGGAGATTTAACTACAATGATTGGCAAGGTAATCTCTTTTTAAAAAAAAAATAGTAACAGTTGTGACAGTTGTATTATGAAGAACCAGATCTACAGCGTAGATATGTAAAGATCTGGAAAAAAATCTGTATTTAATAGACACAGAAGTACTGTATAGTGTTGAGCAAAAATTCTTGATACTGTGTACTTCAGTATGGCTTCAGGTCTAGCTAACATAATGGAGTATGATTCCTTCTTACGATTGTAGACTGTAATAGAGAAAATAATGTATCATCTAACATTGAAGAGTGGCTTTTCCCACCTTCATGAAAAATACCGTAAGTAGAGAAAATGCTTTGTTCAGATAAAATGCTCTGGACATTTTTTGCTGGTTTTTCTTGCTCTCCTGTTTGACTTTGATCCTGTATCAAAAGTGACATTTCTGCTTTCTTTATGTGCTGTTCTTTAAGGATATCCAAAATCACTCTTAACTGCCTCAGAACGGATCTGTATGGAGTGGTTTCTTGACATGCACACTCTGATAACGTTGATTTTACATACAAATATGCTTTATGGACCTAAGTATGAATCTGATATATCTGATCTGAACTTATGAAACCGAACCAAATGTGTGTCATGAAAGAAGAGGAGGTTTTCTCAGTCTGAGCATGCTTTCTGTTGGTAGGGTATTTGTTACTACTATTTTCAGGGCTGGTGACTAGTTTTTCCTTCCAGAATCATGGATATTTTAAGTAATAGGAAGAACAAATGTGATCTGGAAATGGAATATAAAAATAGTATATTATTCTGTTACTCATTGTATAGGTGCATTTCTGTAGAAAAAGTGTGTTTATCCGTTGGTTTTAATTTTTTCCCCCTGAAATATTTTGAGCATGAGAATTCTTGATAAGCTGTGGGTGCTTTGCTGATAGGTCCGTTTGTTCTGGAGAGCGAGTAGGCTGAAGACCATGATACCTATGTGTCACACGTTGGTTCAAATCTTGTTGCCAATGATGTCATCAGCAGAGATTATTTTTAAAATTTCAGCATTTCTGATTTTTCTCCTGAAGCTCCTGTGTAATTTTTCATTGTTGGAAAGTTATGGGAGCCACGGTACTGGAGGGGAAAGTCTTTAATTATCAAAATTTGACAATTCCAGGATGACTTTACTGGTAAGGAATAGGAATGGAACTTTCAGAGTTTTTTCACTGTAATCCCCCAAGTTTGCCAGAAATTCCCCAGACAGAATTCTGGAAATCTAAGTTCACAGAGAAGTTTTTCATCCCTCCCATGAGCTTTGGTAAAATTCTGCATTGGGAACCATTTGCTTCTGAAGACAGAAGAAATGTCTGGGAATGTCTGCAGGTTCAAGGCACTTCAAAGGATTATGGAACTGGTATTATTTAGAGGTGCTCTTAACAGATCTTAATCGGCAGAGACTATTAGTCCCACAGTCCCTTGCAGGGCACTTGGAGTTTAGCCGCTCCTAGCCGTTTCCTCCTTCAAAGGCAAATGGTTTTTGAAGAGTCTTACCAAAGCTCATACAGTGGTGCCTCGCTTAGTGATTGCTTCGTTTAACGAAGAATTCACTTAACGATGTATTTCTTGGAGGAATTTTCCTCATCGTTTAACGATGTTCTCTATGGGGGATTTTCACTTAACGATGTCCGTTTTCGCTCATTTTTAAGTGTCTTAAAATGTTTGAAACCTGTTTTAAATTCTTGGAATCGGTAGTCCACCTTGTGAAACATGTGCAAACTTAATTTGGCTCTGTTTTGAGTCTTCGTTAATTGGTGATTTTTTGTTTTCCCCCTTTAAATGCATTGAACGACAGTTCAAGGAGAATGCAGGCCTCTCCCATTCAGATGATCGGGGAAAGGCCACAAGCAGCAAATTGCATCCTAATGGCCTGAACAGCAGCCAACTTTGCCTTCAGAGACGACTTTTGGACTTAAGGAATCAAATGAAAGAGCTTATGATCTCTAACATATTTACCCCTCACGGTCCAATTTCAAGTACCTCCGAGGATATTCTAGACCCTGACCTCTCCTTAAAGAGTGATTTTATCATCAGCACTCAATCTATTGAACCTATAATTAAGAAATCTCTCGACACTGCAGGTGTAGCAGCGGCTACACATCAGCTCCCAACAGATCCACCTCTTTCTCCAGTACTATGTAAGGACCTTATTACTTTCAATGATCTTGCCGTTACTGAGTCAAACAACCAGGACACTAGGGAATTGAACTGCTTAGGGATGGAATGCTCCCCTGCTAATTCTATAACAGCCAGGACTCATCAACCAGTGCTTTCTCCTATCTGTATCATTGACAAAGGCTCGCGGGGAGGAGCATTTACCTTTGTAGACTCCCAGGCCCAAATAGTGCCTCCGCTGTTCTATGACTGTACTGTTCCAAAACAAAACTCTTCTTCATCTCTTCCATCTACCCAGACAGT